TCTTTATTCTTCACCGGTCCTTTATACTGCCCTCAGTTGTAAGTTCCTATCTCAAGTCTTTTAAAATCAGCCAAATTGGATACTGTTATCTATTAATTATAAGTTTCAGCAGACAGCATACTGGATTCTCACAATACAGGCAATTTACAATTCCCACATCAAAGAAGTATTTACTATCTTAGTTGTTTTTAGCTTGCATAATGAGCTACGGTTAACTATTATCAATTATTAATTATTAAATGTCAGAAAATGTACCAAAAAGGTTTTAAAATGTCATATAGTCAAAAAGAAAAATCTAAATCTTGACAATATTAAGTTTGTTTTCACACAGTAAATGACAAAACAGCCAGCATGTCATCTTTTTATTTGAGAAATTGGAACCACAAAATGAAAATCATTTTTGTTTGGAAAAATATGAATTTCCTTTCAAACCATGGCCTTTAATCAACACATGATTGCAGTTCTACTAATGACAGTAAACACCTTTGCTGTTAAAAGGAGGACAGCATGTCATTCAAAAAGAGAAGAGAAAGAACCAAGAGGAAGTCAGATCTAACAAGGAAGAAAGTGGATTCTTATGGACTTCATCAGAGAAATCAGGCTATTTTTGGGAGTTTTGCCACTGAACCCAGGAGCTGTTGGGGAAACATTTAACTTTCCCCTTCCCAGTTAAAACCTGCAATCCGGTTATCTACTCTGGCCTGTCACCCTCAGATAAGTTATTCTCACTACACCAATATCATTTCCCCTCCTCTTGCACTCTACACCCACACACTACACTCTGGACTGGAAAAACAGAACTTTACAACTTTACTTTCACACATCCCTATCCCCTGAACTACACTCTTAACCTGAGTGACAAAAGACAAAAAAAGACTTCTTCCCCCCCCCACACTCACTCACAGTCAATCCACATGATGTAAACAATCGTAGGCTCTCGGAGTCACATAAGTGATTGATGTTTTGTGAGTTAATGTGACTTATTTGTTTGTGTTTTTGTATCTACTGGATTTAAGTTTTTCTGATAAATGGTCTGTGACATGAGTTGTTTGTTTAATGTACTGATTATTATTTGGGGTAAAAAAATACAGACATTTTATGTTGAAAGTGAATTGGTTGATTATTATTTTTCCTTTTGTAAACTTCAGTAGCTAGGTCACCGGGCTATCCCTCTGTTTCTGCGTGTTTAAGCATATCATTTTTTGACAGCTGGCTATATTAAATATTCCTCTGTCTGGCGCCCAAATTAAATGTATTCGTTCAGGGATAACACCTACGCTACACAACAATGTATTATGTTATGTCCAGAAATCTGATTGCAATTAAAACCTTATGTGCACAGTGAATGTATTATTCCTAAAACAAATGTTTGACATCTTTTAATGATAAATAAGGATTAGTACTTGTTCAAGTCTTGTTGATTGAGGTTTTAAAAGATGAAAAGGGATGTTACATTACTCTAGGTTGTCCTGAATTACATTTTAACAACCATAAATACACACAAAAATGAAGCTGGTCTCTTGTGCAAGACACTACTGACCACTACTGGTTAAAAGCATGAACTATACTTGAAAGCAGCATGTGACTCTAAGGACATGGAGAGCTTGAAAACACCATAAACAGACATGCAGCCAAACATCTGTTCGGCAGGTTAGTCAGCTGCAGGCTGCTGGGCCCTCAGTGTACACATCCATATGTCTCTGTCACTGAAGCATCTGTGGAAGCTTTTGGGTCCATGCTTAGTCACACCATTGGACAGATAGAGTATGAGAATAAAGGAGCAGTGCAAGCATTTACTTTGTTTTCACTTGGACCTTAAGGATTAGGAATGTCATAATTGTATATTTTGGATGAGTGATACCATTATCTCTCTTAAAAACACAATTTAGTGGACCAAACCGACGTTTTCGAACATCAAAGAGTTGCCTGCTCACAGTGGTGACAGGCTGAGAAAATCCCACCGGACAGTGACCCTAAAAATAAACAGAATATTCTGTTCTTGAGGACAAATATACATTTTTCATTCCTTTTTATTGTTGGCAGGACACCTGACAAACTACAGATGGAGAGACTCTGATCTTGCCTTGTTCCAGCGTCTGTCAGAAAATAATAATATGTTGATCTATTTATTCATTGCTGCTCAAAAGACGGCTATTGCTGAAAAAGTTAACGCATTATGTCTTTAGTTTTCAATCCTTTTTTTACAGTGCAACCCTGAAAAACGTAATTGAAACTTCCATTATTCTGATAATTGAGAGGCTGCCAACATGCTTAAAGATCCACATGAGGAACTCAATAAAAGAGCAATCTGATACATCATGCATATAACGAGGGATATGACCGTTTTCTGCAGAACATAATCCTGTTTTTTCTGTGCAGAAAAAAACAGTCCCTGCTGTATTCAACATTTCGAAACATTCTTGTTCCCTTGCTGCCCTTTGGTAACACAGCCAGCTAATCTCCCTTGACAGGCCTCAAAAACTAATAGATTTGTTGCATAAGAGATTATCTTAACGGCTCTTATCTTTCCTCTGCTCTGGCTTGTAGGTAATTTTATTATGGAGAAAAACAGAGAAACAATCTCTGCTGCTGCCTATATGAAGCAAATGCCATTATGTCGTGTGTGTCGCTGTGGAAACAGGCTTATCAAGGCTCAGGCTGAAGAAGGTATAGGCCGACATGTTGTGTCAGCACTTCTGTAACTTTAGGTGAGGGTTGGAGGGGGCTGTGGAGGTAATGTGACCTTGTTTGCCATGCAGCAGTCACAGCACAGTCCTGCACACCTCCCCTGACAGTAATTGTGAGAATCTGACGGACGCTGCCTGCGCCTTCAAAATGGCTTGGTCATTGGCGGTAACAATTCCTCCGTGCAGCCCGCTGTGGAGCTTTAAATGTGAAACCCTTCATTTCTCACCTCACAACTAGAGAAAGCTCCCCGACACAGAGCTTTTGATAATTGGGATCTATAATTTATGACTCATAGCTTCAGTTGTGGATGCCATCAAGTCTTCTGCTGAGTATAGCTTCCCTTCCACCAGCAGTCATGTAAATGTTACAGAGGTTTCTTCAGCGTTCAACATTGGAGCTCCCATGTACAGTATACCTTCTTACACTGTAACATGCGCAGTACAGTATGTGTGTGGCCAGCTGTGAGGGAGGAGCTGAGAGCATCACTAAGATGCTAGGCTCCAAATCTGATCATCACCCCCTCTGTAAAAAGCTGTCGTTGTTTTAGAGTAGGCCTTCCCAACATTAGACTTGAAACCTTTGAAGAGCATCAATGTTAAATGTGTCTCCATTACACGTTGACATTCAACCACTGAGTAATGTTACCTTCTCAGAGTCATTAATTTTAACCATTTTTAGAGGCATAAAATATCCAGGTTTTCCAAATGATTGTCATAAAAAAACACAAATGTGACTTTAGCTATTTTTCTTATTTCTAAGCCTGCTAGTCATCTGTTGAACCCTCAGATTGATGCAAATGTGTCTCCTTTGGGGGTTCTGACCTTTGGAACAATATTTTAGAGAAATTGTTACACAAATTAAAGAAAAGGCTGAACAATTGCAAATGCTTCCATATAGCGCACAAGCGGTGGTCAGTGGGTGGTTTAAGGAGTAGGAGAATGTTGTGAATAACATGATACAGCCTACACAGTCACCTTCACAAGACCTAAACATGGGCGAATATCAGAGGAACAGCGTTTATACCTCCAGCAGAGTTTCAGAGGGATGGAGAGTACATGCTGTACTCATGGTGGCCCAAATCTGGACACTCAATGCTGTTTATTCGTATCACTGCATCTTTATTTAACATGCATGGGCCTGATGTGATGGATATGAGATTACAAGCAAATGTGCTATTGATAATGTTAATATTGATACTGTATAGTTTTTGTTTGTGCTGAGATGTGTAATCAAATTGAAAACTAGTTATAAAATAGTGTTTCACATTTTCAAATGTGTTACTATTACTCGGCAGGATTGTTTTGCATGGCTACAAAGATCTTCAGACAAAATGGAGAATGTGTTTGATTTTTAGTCACCTTTTTGAGATTTTCTTTGATTTCAGACTGGAATATGCCAGTCTCCAACAAAAGGGAAGGGAGGGGGAGACAGACAGAGGGAGATGCCGAGACAAAACTGTGACACATTCAGCTGAAAGACCACGATTTGCAAGACTAGTCTCCACCGAGTTCCCCTCCCACCATAGATCCCCCCCCACATGTTTATCCTCCAGTTACTTCACAGCAGCTGGTGTGAGCATTATTTAGGTGAGATCCGAGCTGATATCGAGCAGCCTGAGGCGTCATATATCCCTCTATGGTCATGCATGTAGAAAACAGAGGGAGTGAAAGTGAGGCAGCCTTATCAGTGTTAAGCATGTGTGCGCAGTGGGCAGCGTGATGGAGCTGCATCCTCGCGCTCGCGGCCATCGAGGAAAAAAAACAACACGGTATTGTATCTGTCGCCACACCCATCATATAAAGCCAGACACGGCGCGGTAGAGAGGAAAGAGAGCGTTTTATGTCGGTGACAGCGACATGACAACAGCCGAGGGCTATGGGCTGAACGGCAGATGAGTTGCACACATTCACCAGCGTCCCCCCTTTTCATCGAAAACACAGTAAACCTTCGCCATATAACTGTCTGGTGCGAATATCGATGTTACGAATAATGCACAAAAGGCTGTTTGAATGAATGGATGATGGTGCACGTGGGGGCCAGTTAAGGAGAGGTATTTAAAGATGTGGACACGTCTCTCTGTCAATGCGCATGATACTGCGGTTCCACTACTATGGCACGCTCCAACTCACCTTGAATCGGCGCACGGCCGCTCTCCTGTCATTCGGGTGCGGGGCGTACGGAGAACCAATACACGCCCCAAAGCCTCAATCAGCAGCCAATCCAATGACAGAAGAGGCGGACCTGTGGAGGCATTCTCACACTTGGTTTCACTATGCGCTCGTAAAACGGCTCCGTCTACTACAAACGCGGCGGTGCAGGTGCTCTGTCTCTTCGGGAGAGGATGCGGATGGAAGGACGGGGGAGGGAAGGGATGAAGGGAAACGCCACGAGGAAAGAAAATAGGATATGATAAAGGGGCTTTTGCTAAGAGACCGTGAAGTGCAAGGTCGAATATGAGAGATTGGTTGAGCGGGGCACTTTGCGTGGTAATAGCTGGTCGGCAATAGTACTATGATTTGGTATGTGGCCACTCTGATAGCAAGTGTATTCAGCACCAGAGGAACGGCCGCTCAAGGTGAGTTGAAGTGCAATATATGTTGTGCCGCACACATGATTTCTGCTGTCTCCGTGTGCGCTTGGTGCTGCTTTTTTGCAATCGCATGATATTTTTTGTGCACGTTAGGTGATATGAAGTGTGGGGCTAATTCATCCTAACAAATGGCTGCCTATCTCATATGTCACGTGAAAGTTCAGCCCTGTTTAAATCGTATCATAGGAAATAACAATTGTCTTGAAATGGCCCGGCTCATATGCATGATATGTAAGGGGGGATCATTCACATGCAGGCTACAAATGCTCCAGAATGATTGACCATGACAAAGATGGGTTGATTGATATGGCTGTGTGGGTTTAGGCCTGTATTGTGATATCCAATAGGCTCATTTGTATGAGAGCATAACGAGCAAATTGGAAATAACGTCCGGAAATGTGTGCATTGTATCATAGCAAGCAGTCCCATTTGAGTTCTCTAGAGAGGGGTGTGACCGTATCAGCCTTCAAGATGGAAAAGTAACTAAATAATGTATTACGTGTCAGATAAAATGCACTCCTGAATTGATAGAGCCCATTGATTCATGCATGGGATTCACATGCTGGATTCCACACTGCACATGGATATGGCCACAGTGCTGTGTGTGTGATGCACTGAGCACACATGCTGCAAGGCTCGCCTAGTGCTGATCTAAGTGGCTCGTAAACTAGTTATTCCTAGAGCAACAAACTGCACAATATCCCTTTTGTTCATATTTTTCCTGAGCACTCTGTATTGACCCATGTACTTACTTAACCTTGTTCTTCCACTCGTGTCCAGATGAGGGAGACATGTGCCAAGCTGTCGCCTGGTAACTGATCCCAATGACCCCATATACCCAGTCAAAACTGGTCTGCTCACAGGTCTGGCTCCTCTTGTGATAACAGCCAGGTCCAAGCCGAGTACACATTTGAAAACCTCCTCTTATAATGCATTTGATTTAGGAACAGTGAATCTCTCATGGGTGTGATTGTTTAAAGGAGAAAGTCTCCATTTTATGAAGGCAAAGATGTGGCCTAATAATATCGACTCAAAGGTGTTGTTCGGAATCAGTGCACTGGCGTTGATTTACGTTTAAAAAGGTTTACAGGCTGCACTAGAGAGTCACAAATCTACCAGTTATGACACATAGAGCTATTTCTTCTGTGTCACACATTATAGTGTCTGGACCCAGTCTGATGCTACACAGAACCCCTGAAGTGCATGTTCACACCAACTATGACTTATTTTTCATCCTCCTTTGAATCATCAACCTCTCAACCTGTCATCATAGTTAAAGGCTTCTTGACAATATAGTGCAGTTTAATGTCATCAATTATAATAGTTATACAGTATTTTCTGCAACAAAATAAACAATAACAGCATATATTAACTGAGGTGGCTTTGTATCCTTGAGCTTGTTTTTAGAAGCTCTGGGAAATAAGCTCATTCGGTTTTAGATTATTATTACCGCAGCCGATTAGCTTAACAAGCAGCCGATATATTTAGCTTAGCATAGCATAAAGGCTAAAAAAAGTTATTTATTGGCCGGCTGATGTGACTTCCTGGATTCATGATGTCACCATGACAATACAGTTAACAAGCAGAGTGCCAGAAGGTGACTTATCTTAATCATTTTAAATTGTTTGTTACTTTGGGACAGAGCCATGCTACATGTTTCCCCGTGTTCACATGTGCTAAGTTATTGCTTTATTGTTACTGCTGCCTGAAACAGTTCATCCTCCAACTTTCATCAAGCAAATGTTGAACTCTTCCTTAAAGTAGTGGTAGTCCAAATAAGGTGCCATCTTTATACACCTGCTAGTGATCTGCATGTCAGCTGTTTTAGCACCTACCCCCTCCATTGAGTCAGTATGATCTCTTGCTGTTGGATGGCATGTCAAACCAACAAAATGGTGGTAAATATCTACCCTAATACTAGGAAGAACAAAGTTTATCGAGTTTGTTCATTCAAATATGTGATATCACTGATGGCATTATTTAATTAATGTGTTCACTGCCTCATGTCATAGAGGTAGAAGAGATACTGCTCAGATTTGAAGGTACCAATGAACATAAAACGAAGCAGATGGTCACAAGATAACCTGCTCCAAAACAGCTGAGCTTAGACTTGGCTCCTTTCTCTTGAATGGCATTTTGTTACAGTATATGTGCACTTCACACATTATTTTGAATGATTAAATGGCCAAAATCTCTAAAATTGTACCATCTCTAAAAATGGTACAATTTCCCGGAACATTGTATAAAAATGTTTTTTTTTACTGTAAAGAAAGTCTTTAATAAGATGTCATATTACAATTATTTTTATCCTAAAAGGCCATCATATAATGCTATATATTGTACATAAATGTATATTAAAATACACATGTGATATTTCTCTTGTATCACAAAACCCTGCTTAAACGGTGAACTATATGCTGACACACATGGCACAAGCAGGATTATGTGTTGCAGCGAGATATTGGATGTAGTCTGAATGGTTAGAATAGAAGAGACAACCGCGCATACTTTACTGGAGATTAGTTTTGTTTGTCGCACAGTTTGATGTGAGGCAGGTTGTGTTCTTACCAAACAGGGAAATGGTGGTAATGAAGCTAGTCTTGTCTGCAGACAAAGGTAGTTTGATGGATTTCAATCTGCAATTGATAACTTGGCTCTTGCTTTTTCAGAGTGACATGGAACATTTGTTGTTAAATGGAAATGTACTTGCTCTTTCTATTTCATTTATTACATTTATTCCAATAGATTTGTATGTTTTAAAGCATCTGTTTTACTTTGGTGCTGTAAGCTGTGGTGTGCATTTTGAGTTGTACTGAGACGTGTTCATAGAGAGGCTGTCTGACAAGTAGAGTCCCAGATGCATGAAATGTTTTCATCTTTAAGGGAAAGTGAAAGCCTAAATGGGTCAAGTTTAGTTAGAATTATTTAAGGCTGGCAAGATGTTGTAGAAAGTGGAGTGTCAAGATTTTAAGATACAGAGTGTTAACTGTGTTGACTGTATCCTTCATTGACTCATCAGCCATGAAGGAAACTGAAGCGAGAGTCAAGCAGTGAGTACATCATTTGAAAAGTAAGATATTGCCAAAGGTTTAAATGATTATTGGCCTGAATTTGTGTTACTAAGGCTTCTGTGTAGACACGGTGTCTGAAAAGCAGCAGTGCTTTGTCTGAGTCTAAACATGATGCATTCAAGCACAGTATTGAGTGCACCCACGTTTTTGAAACAAAATTGAAATTAGATATTTACATTTGTAGAAAATGGACCTGAAGCGTAAAAATATCTCTTAAAATATGTCAGACTATGACTAAAATGAAGACAGCTTTGTGTCTTTTTGTTGTTTTCTGCTGGTATATTATAAATAAAATAAAGATTTGCAGTAGGAGACACCATATATTTAGTTTTTTACAGTACACATATAGTTTGTCACACAGAAAACAGCACTGTGTGATAAAAGGCAGCCCCCTAATAAAATGTATAAATGCTCTGCTTTGGTACAGTTGGGGTACCAATACAGAGGGCATAGCCCCCAAAATGCAGGGTCCTCCAACACTATCCTAGCTCAACCTTTCTAATTACACAATGCAATGTCTGCTGGTTAAATGCTACATTTGCTAATCGAATAAAGGCAGGTACACATTCTTAGAGGATTACTTTCTTCTGTAAAACCTTTTCAAGGGTTGTTCCTTATTATCGTAGTACTATAACATGTGCAGTGTTTTGCACCTGGAAAGCTTTAAACTCATCGATCTTCTACTCAAACTAGTGTGCTGGAAATGATTGCCACAATAGTCAAATAATTGTCCTTCTTTGATAATCATAATTTCCATTACACTAGCCTTTCTGGATCTTATGTAATCATCAATGTGGGCTATTTTCAGTCCAAACATCTGGTGAACAGTATTATTCCCTGCACCAAATAAACTCGCCTGAACCTTGTCAACAGTCTCATGAATTTGGAATTATTTCTGTTATTGGCGATTGTTTGGAGTGTTGGGCTTTGCAGTGAGCTGTTGTATTAGCCTATAGGTTGGCTGTTTAAATACAAATGTAATTAAACTTGGAAAAATAATTAACAACTTGAAATTGAATATTAATAACATACAACAATTCATCCAGCTTCACAAACTTTTAAAAATAAATCATAGAAATGCAGTCCACAATTGAATAAATAAATAAAATTGAACAATTGATTAACATTGCGCATAGAGAAAAAACAAACCTAACAAATGGCTCCAGAAAATGTATTTATTTTTGATAAGTTGAGTAGTTTACTTTGTTTTCTGGGAATCTATTTAAAACCACTGAATAACTCGGAAGAGTTCAGGTAAATGGACGGTCACAGAAGTTTTATTTTTACCAAGTTCCCATAGGGGAGGCAGCATATGGTCAGGGAGACTCGAGGTAGAAGTCAACGATGACTTGGCAACAAATCAAGGTGAGGCAAGAGGGACGCTGATGGCAATGTTGAAGTTATTAAATGTCATTGGCAAGTGTCTGGGAGTGGTTTATTTGAAGGACTATTTTCAGCTTGAGTCACTGATGGCAGCCTGACTTCTCTTAGGTCCTGTGCTGGGACTTGGTATGTTTTAAGTGTTTGTTGAACTGGCTTCTGGCCAGACGGTATTCATCTGTAATTCCCTTCTCGTGAGCACGCTCCTTGATGTTTCACAGGAGCTCCCTCATGAACCGTTGCTTGGCACACTTGTTCTTGTTGCTTGGATTCTTTTGAAGGTGAGGTTCTTCAATGACAGAGGTATATAGAAGCAGGCATTTGTGAAAGTGTCAAACCTGCCACTCACAAATCTGAAGCCTCCCAGTAGCACCAGGCGGTGTCTGAAAGCCCTCCTACTGTCTCTGGAGTCCAGATTCAGATGGTGGTTCAGATAGACTAGTGCTGTCTTCACTTCCTGTCTGTATGTTGGAGCTGTCTGGGACGCTGTGTGAGGCTGCTTTTCATGAGATAGCTCATGAAATGTTTTGACAG